GGGGGGGGGGGGGGGGGGAGCTTGCAGTAGTGACTGATCTGTGCCTTAGTCATAAAACAAACAGGATGACTTATTATTGAAGTTTTTTTCCAGCTTATTCCAGCTCATGTTCCATTCTGCATCATCACTTTGCAAAATGTAATTGACTTTGACTTTTTTCTTTTTTCTTTTTTTTTTCCATCTTCCCAATGGGTGGATTTCACACATGTTTACAGGTACCAGCAGGGGCGCGTTAATAAACATGCAGAAATAGATGGACGCAGCAGGTCCGACACACCTGACTGACCGCACTGCGTTTCCCTCCCCCCCCCCCCCCCCCCCCCAGTCCCCCCCCCCCCCCCCCCCTCCTCACCTCCTGCAGCTGCTCCAGCTCCTTCCTCAGGGTCTCCTGGTCGGTCTCCAGCTCGGCGTACTTGTGCTTGAGCGCCTGGTTCTCCTCCAGGACGGCCAGCCCGCACTCCGCGGCCCGGATCTTCTCCCGGTTGGCCTCGGCCAGCTCCAGCGTCAGCCTCTCCACCTCGGCCCGGTACTGGTCAGCCCCGGACTCCACGCGCGCTCCGCCGGCGGCCATCGCCCCGTCTTTTAAACAGCGTCGGTGGATGCTTTAACCCCCCCCCCACCCTGGCCTGGCTCTTGCGGACCACCTCCGTCTCCCCCCACCCTGTGCCGGATGGGACAGAGGCAGGGCGGAGGCTGAGGGATGCTGAGGATCCGCCTCTCCCCCCTCTCACACACACACACACACACACACACACACACACCCCTCCAGGGAGTCAGGAAGGAAACCCAAATGGAGGAATCACAACATTGGCATTTGCAGAGTGAAGTCCCCCCCAGAAGCAGCTCCCCAGTCTGAAATTCACCCCCCCGATGAGTCGCTGGTTTCACACCCAGCATCCAGAGCATCTTTTCTGCTTATTCATGTAACAGATGGCGCCCCCTGCTGGTTCAACAGAGGTTCACCAGGAATACTTCACATCACAGCAAAAACGCACAAGAAAGAAGATCTGGGAAGCTTTATATTCCCACTGTACACTGAGCCAAGGATGTTATCGTATTGGTGGTCATATTTAAACTGTAAATTGGGACAACATTCCTTTAAAAAAAAGGTTCAAATCTGAGAAAGAAGACTTGGCACAATTTGCATACAAAACGAAGGCGTTCCGACTCTTTCATTCTAAGAATTCGTTCCAACTGTTTCATTTCAACATTTTGCTGGCTGAACATTGAGTATACTGCATGCATTCAAGAAAATCTTCCTCATCCTGGCATTCTGCAACCATGAGCAGATACAGATTTGTTAAAAAACAAACAGGCAAAAAAGATCTCTTTTATTCAAAGTTTAATTTCAATGACGTTACTAAAACTACAACACAACGTTCAGAACAACTACAAAACAACGCTTTAATTCTTTTAAAAATGTCTCTTCCATTTCCAGACACAGTAACATATTTGTTGCTTAAACGATTATATTAATTATCTCTATATAACAAATAAAAGTCAAATGAAACCAGCAAAACATCTCAGCTTTATGCAGCGTTGTAAAACCTTTTAGTTTACTTAGATTTCCATCAAAAGTCCAACGAGATATTTTCTTGAATAGAAATAGAACATCCCAAATGAGCTTTTCTGTGGCTCGAATTGAATCCAAACAAAACCTAAAAAAGCTGACGCAGCACTTTAAGTCGTAAAAACTGCACCGAAATGCCTGGCTACTGCAGGGTCCTCTTGAGGAAGTCCACCAGGAGGTGGTGAGGGAAGCCGAAATCCATCTGCGTCAGCACGAAGCCCTGCAGCCGGGCGGGACGGAGGGAGAGATGGAAACGGTGCAAATCAGAAACAAAAACATGCAAAAAAAAAAAAGGGGAGGAAGGGCAGCTCTTACGTCTCGAGGGAGCACTTCAGGGTTGATGATGTCAAACAGGTTGGCCCCCTGTTTGTCCATCAGCCTGGTTATCTCCACCTCCAGAACTGAAACAGATGCCAATTATTTCCACAAACAACTCTAACTCTGATTTAATAAAAATGTCAAAAGTAATCAATTAAGGCATTACCGAGCAGCAGAAACTGAAAATAAACGGCCTCATTTGTTTGACAGTAATCAAGAAGATGAGACTAAATAAATAGTATCAATTGATCAGATTAGGAATAAAATAGGAAACAGATTAAATGTTTTGTGAAAGGCTTAATTAGCTAAGAGGCATGAGTAAGAATTGCTGATGTTTGAGAGTTTCTTACCAGACAGGACTTTAGGAATGCCTATCTTCTCCACCGCTTCTCTTATGAACTCTATTTCTGATTCATCGTATACCTAAAAGTGAAGAGGTGATGACTGAACAGGATGAATTCAACTGAATTCACATCATTCATCGCAAAAAAAAAACAGGAGAGATCTGATCCATGTGGTCCTCGCTTTCTCGGGATTTTCCTTTGATTCCCTGACATTCCTTTTCTTTTTTTCCCCGTTTAATTTTTCCACTTTAGAACTGCTCTGTGATTTCCCCCCCTTTATCATGAATAAAATAAAAGATAGGAGACCTAATTCCTTTTAGCCTTACAGGCAGCAGCTCTGGTTGGAACTGCGCATCTATTTGAATCTTGACATTTTCTGTAAAACACAGATTTTGGAAATATTCTTCTGGTAGGACTTCTGCTGTCTGTCTTAAAATCTATCAGTGGAAGAAAAAAACAGAAAAAAAAACAAGAAAAACCTACTTGTTTATTTTGTGAGGGCAGCTCAGCGTTGATGACTGAGATCCTGTGGAAATAGGAAATGTTTAATTCATTCATTTATTAATAATAGAGGTTTAAAGACTGATGTCTTTGAGGTGAATGTGCATCTGTAGACTCACTATGTACTTTAGAGAGTATAAACTGATTTAAAAAAGGACTTACTCGTTAACTTTACTGTGGAGGAGGAGCTTCTTGTCAGCATAGGAAGCCTTCACATCGACATACACATCCTGGACATCACAAAAAAA